ATAATATTACTAATATATATATTGAGCATTGTAAGCGCTAAATATGGCTAAATATAACCAAATGTCATCACATAATCACGAAAAATTATTTGATTGATATAATCGATGTATAGGTTATAGAGCCAATTTTTGGAGCAATTTGCTTTATTACCTCATCATTTAACTGCAGTTCCTTTTCACGTTCTTTCATATAATCCTGCAATAGACCCCTCCAACCGTAAATACCGGTTGTCACTCCTAAAAAGATTACGACATAAATCTGATCCTTGGTTATTCCTCGTGGTACTCTAATTCTCATATTGGATCCTACGTCGCAGACGACCACAAACGACGTTATACACCAGATATGGAATGGAAGGGTAAAAACCAGAGTGGTGTAAATCAAATTTTTAAAAACATTTTCTCGTGTGCATAGATGCAATTTATATATTATACAGATTGGATCTATGCACACGAGAAAATATTTTTAAAAATTTGACTTACACCACACTCTGGTTTTTACCCATACATATACATACATGTGCAGTTTCCAGTGCACATGATGACCTTATTTGTATTTTATCACAAAGAATTTTGCTTCGAATCGCTTTATAGCAAATTTTGAACGTGCAAAGAACAAACAATAAATAATGTTTGTTATATAAATTTTATAAAAATACAATAATTATTTTATTAGTTAAAATTATCATTGTCTATACAATTACATCTATACAATTATTTTAATTGAATTGTAGGAAATATATAAAATAATTTGTTAAAACATATCTTTTTTACATACATTTTTTATCCAGAAAATATTTATATATATATATGTACATACATATAATAGTTGTACAATTAGATTTATACAATGTGTGTTTCTCTCTTTGTAATCTGTTAATTTTACCTTTCAGAAAAGAGAAAGGTCAGAGGTTCGTACAATTAAATTCAATCAAGGAAGTGAGACACTTAAATTTTGCCAGAGTATTTATAAAACTTTTTGAACGTATTTAATTGTACTTTGAAGACTTCCTGCAACGATGCTGGTAATGTACGGGATAAAAATGCAAGTCCATGCTGATCACAGATGCTAATTAATTGACATAGAGATTCGTGTAAAGCCATCTGCAACATAAATAATAAAAGGGATTAAGAACAATCTAATAGGATAATGATGGAAGTAAAGATATTACCTTGATGTAGGATGGTATAGTGCCTTCCACAATCAATTGCAAGAGATCAGCGATCACATACGGACTTAGCCGGATCATGTCTTTCTTCAATTTTACCAGCATGGTTGTAAATCTAAGAGAAAATATCTATGACTTTCTTATCAAATCAATTTTATCAATGAGTAAATTTCACCAAAATACTCTCGAGCACGTCAACACTATTTGCATGTAACATTAAAATATTTTCTAATTAATTAAACTTACTTTGTGATATCGAGTGCGAAACATCTAAATCGATGCTCGTCGAATTTATCGGCTACATTTTTCGATGCAAGGACAACGATATTTATTATATGTCTATACAACAGCAATAAATTAGGTAGCCTGTCTATTATCAAGTTTGTTTTGGCTTTTATCAATGTTCTGCATATAGCGAGCACATCTTTGCACGACAATATATTCGCTTCGTCGAGCGACTTTAAACTGATCAGCGTAATAAGATCGACCGTAATGTCGGGAATAAGCAAGTGTTTGGCACTGATTACATCGTGAGATAAACACAACAATCCTGACCAATATTCGTGTGGGATATCCAACATTAACACAGTTTTGATCAGATTATTGATCGCACCCAAACGTACTTTATTACGTTTAACATTCATGTCTATTTTCATTATACTGCTCCAAATGATAAACAGATTTATCCATACTGATTCATCTTTCTGCGACAAGCTATTGATCTACACAAATAAAAATTAAATTATAAATATGCACAAATATTATTAACTGCTATATAAATAAGAAATATATTAATGAGAATATTACCGTCTGATCGTGTAACCGTCTTAAAAGCTCGTGAAATTCTTCTAATCTGGTAGATGCTAATAAAAGTTCGATTAAATTCTTGCAAGGATGCTTTAACATTACAAACCATAAGTTTCTGATAATCGTATCTTGGATTTCAAACATTTTGCGATGTTGTAAAACAATGATAGACAATTGTACACTTTGTTGCAACAATTTACTATTATTTGTACTGCTTGAATTTTCTCTTGCCTGTAACAAAAAATTTATTTTAATCGTTTGAATGTTCTCCATAAGTTTAATGTCTGAATGGCAAAATTATCACATATAAGGAAATATAATTCCTTCCATATTACTTACCGTAAATATATTTTTGAGAGTTAATTCAGTGAATCTTTTTAAAGTATCAGTGACTTTTCCAGTTTTAACAGTTACCTTTAACACTGCTGTTAAACATTTCACATCAAAAGGGTCGTTTATGTCTTCAGGTAACATCTTTAAAATAGCTTTGGCTAATTTTTTCTCTGCCTTTCTGAAAATGACTTTTTGTTCAGTATCCAACTTTGGTTTGACTACTTCCATACATTCCAAAATAATGCACATAGCTTCTTTGCATTGAGCATAACTTTTTACGAGATTCTTTAAAGTAACATATGTTTTCACATTCCGAAGAGAGAACTCGCAAGCTCTTGAAAATGCTTTATTTTGCTGTGTGTGCGCTAATTGGTTTATCAATATTTTTGGTTCTATATATTGCAATATATCGATTCCGGTTTTCTCGAGTAAATCTAGAAAAATATTTTTATTATATGTTTTTATTGAAAATTTCTTAGTGAAAATAGTGATTACAAAATTGAGGTCAAACATACAAAAATTAAATTACCTGAAAATATCATGTTGCATAACGCTAATACTTTGTCATTTTTTTCATATTTTGTACTAATGGAATACACGATCAGGAATATTAACATTCTCACATTAGGGCTGAAATATATAGTCGGTAAATGAAGGAATATTTCTAAATATAAATCAATATTAAAAGAAATTGTATTTGCCGCTTGCGTCCATTGTTCCTGTAATATCTGTTCTTTTAGAACTTGTAAGACTTCTAATAATTTATCATTATGCCCGTTCTCCATCAACAGCTTCTAAAATTTTATTAGAATAATTAGGGTATGAAAACCAGGGATTGCTTTATAATGATTAGAATATTAAAAAATTTTTGACAGTATTAAATTATGCAGTGTTACTTACAACGTTAATGTATTCGGTAATAGTTAATGAAAAACTTTGTCCAATTTGGACAAGAATATGGCTTAAGAGACACATTACAAAGCGTCTATTTTCTTGAAGGCATTCTTTATCTAATATGTTGAGCCATTCACGAAAATTCTGTTCGCTCGATGTTATATCAGCCAACAATAAATTCGTCACTTTCGATATCTCTTTGTCATGTAACAAGGAAAGCATATCTGTGTCATGTTTTAAAATAGCACTCCAGGAATACTCAAGGCCACCTATTAACCCATGAAGTTTAATAGGTTTATCTGATATACCTAGTTTCAATCGATGTAAAATAAGTTTATTCTGAAATTTTGATATAGAAATATAAGGGTAAGTTCTTGCAAGAGTGTTGAAAAACATTCCATTTTCAAAATTGACCACATTTTGACAAAAATATAATTTGTTTTTTCAAATAAATATAATTTCTAAAGATACCATGGTGTTCTTGCAATTGTCTTCTCCGAAATTGGTAATCCTTTGAATTAATTGTTGCCAAGGATCATCCAGAATCGGAAACGGCAGCTTCTTTGTAACGGTAGCATCTTTCAGTATGTAATATTTGAACATATTCTGTATTTCGCTCAACGATTGCACTGCACTCAGCAGTATTATGATAACGGTTTTGTTATGACTTAAACACAATGCCTTGTTTATCAACAGCGATAGTGCATTCCCAATTTCATCTAGGCCGTTGACGAATTTCTCATGAGCGGCTAATGTTCTGGTATATTCGAAAACCTGCATACCTTCGAAAAGTGTAATAAGCAATTCTACTGTTGCTCTTAATATCAATATATTTTTACCTGCATATTAAAAAAAGGAGAAGTTAATTTATTTTTCAATATTACATGTGTTTACAATTCTCTTTGTCATTAAATTAATAATCACTCAATAATACAAGATACTTACATGAAGTATTA